CCCGGCCCCCTCCCCCTCCCACTGCCCAATACCCTATTATGTAGTACCTATGTTCCACTTAGTGCTACTCAGTTATACCAGTTTGTTGGAGAATTATATCTGGTTGTTTCCTTTCTTGGTGGTGTGTTCTTGGTGTGAACTTCACTGTTATGTTATGTGGTGTCCAGCTTCACGCAGTAACTATGTTATAAGATGTGCTATTATTCCGTTTGGTTTCTGTGTTAGAATTTGATAGTCCTCGACTGTGTAGTATTGATATTAATAATTACTTGGAGTTGAACATTAATAACGGTTGTACCATTTTCCTTATATAATAATTGTGAATGACTTACGTTGTTGTGTTTTTACATAGGCTGCACTGGGTGTTGATCTGTAACTCATATTTTTTCTGACATGTAGCACCCCACATTTCATTTTGAATGATGTTTGACTGTTGCTGTATGAATTCTAATTTTTGGAGGAGGAGGCAATATGGCGCCTGCCGCGAGGCTCGGGTCTGTGCACACGGAGGTGCCCGGAGGAAGTTGGGAACCTGGTGCCACGTCTGGTACAGGCTTACTGCTGGCTGGCGGCGGTGGTCTCTGGGCTGGCGTCCACAGGTCTCTCTACCCGCTGGGGAGTCCACCAGCAGTCCCAAATGCAGGGGAGGGGAAACAGAAAATCCACCTACCCTTGCCGCTGGTCTCCGGGCTGCTCCGGTGGTCTCAGCCTCCAGTTCTCCTCCCCAGCCTCCTCCTGTGGAGTCTCCCGGGGTCTCAGGTACCCCTCCTTCCGGCCTTTGTCTGCTGTATGCTCATCTTCTTGCTTCTTTTTTCTAATTTCTGCTAGAATCTGTCTTTTCTGCAGAGACACTCTGTCTGGCGGTGTTATTCATCCTCCATCTTGCTGAACCCCCATGCTGCCTTCATTTTTAAATGTTTTAGGCATTAGCCAAATGCAGGCATTAGCCATGTCTGAGCCAAGCTCTCTAAGTGGCTCCCTTGAGCAACTTGAACCCCTAAGTGGTCCCCCCACCTACCATGAGGTGATGATAGAAACAGCATAACACCTTTAATATCTCTATATAGAGGAGTTCTCACTATTTCTCTTTTTTCCACCTTCCCCTTCCTCTGCCACCATTTTATATAGCCTGGAGGATGGTGATAAACTAACAAAACCTATTACTTAATATATTAGTATACCAATGATAGCTGATCCAGAACCTTGCTTTGGGAGGTCGAGGTATATTACATCAACGTAATGTTGTAAGTCTTCAAAGTCACAAGGAAATAAGAAAACCTCCCAATTTTATGACCAGTGTTATAAGATAATTGGAAATTACTGGGATGCCAGATTTCAAAGTGCCTTTCTAATACATAAATCTCTTCATAGAAGAATAAACTGCTATAGTTTTGAGTTCATTGTCATCAGACACCATTGAGGAAAGTTTCAGTGGGGACCTATTAAAATCAGGGTCAGCTTTGCTGGCATGTGATCTGTGCTGTTGCATAGGGCTCCACAACTTGAGGGTCCTCATGGGTGATTTAATGCTGTGATGACACCTTGAAATTGTTAAAAATCAGTCAATAAGAAGCCTCCCATTTTCATATTTGCACTACGTCCTGCAAATTATGTTTTTTTTTTGAGACAGAGTCTCATTTTGTTTGGCTAGAGTGCCATGGTGTCAGCCTAACTCACAGCAACCTCAAACTCCTGGGCTAAAGAGATCCTTCTGCCTCAGCCTCCCGAGTAGCTGAGACTACAGGCATGTGCCACCATGCCCAGCTAATTTTTTTATACATATATTTTTAGTTGTGCAATTAATTTCTTTCTTTTTTTAGTAGAGATAGGGGTTTCACTCTTGCTCAGGCTGGTTTCGAACTCCTGACCTTTAGCTATCCACCGGCCCTGGCCTCCCAGAGTGCTAGGATTACAGGCATGAGCCACTTCGCCCGGCCTTGTATTTAGTCTTGATTAATATGTTTGTACTATGTGGATGGGAGATAACATTTTAGATGATTGAAAAACTCTTTCCTTTAAGTTCTATTAAAGGAAAATATAATACCAATGATTGTTAACAAATGTGTGTTTCACAAACTGTTTTATATGCTTTATAATTAGTGAATATAACTATAGTGAAAAAATTTAATTGATATTATAGGTTTTGTGAATGTTTTATTTTTGTCAATAACTGTTCCTTTATGACATATTATGTGATTAAAATATTATTTGCAGTATTTATGGGTTAGTGTGAACATTTGTTTTACTTCTTAAACTTACGATAAAATTGAGAAAGCACAATTACACTAAGAAAAATAATCTCTAAAAGTTCTTGCTACATGTCTATATAATATTCAGTATTCTGTCAGTGTAAGCACCCTCACTGCAAGAGAAATTCTGAGTGCTGTCTTTTTCTCCCTTTAATAGAATTCAATATAATTGACTTTCTTTTTTATTCATTCTTTCTTGGAAGGGAAACATCTGGGAACAGATTTTACGAATACCCTTCATCTTGGAAATAATTAATGCGGTTCCCTTCATTATCTCAGTAAGTCCAAAAAGAATCTGAAAAAATAATTGTCTAATTAGATTTAAGTAAAATCCTTAAATCTAAATACTGTTAAATAATATATAGTAGCTAAGATAAAAGAATTTACGTTTTGATTTAAATCATGATACTAAAAAATAGTCAGTTGGATGAGTGGATTGTGTAATTAAATGAAAACTAATGGAAATTTAATACAACAGAAAAATAAAATATATTTTTAAAAATATATGCTCCGGAGGTGCCATTTGAACAAATATCAGTATTGACTAAAAAGACTAGTAATTACTTCATATCTTGTTTATATTGTGGAATTTTTAAAAAAATAGAAGCCAGTTAGAACCAAGTTTTTGTAAAAGTTTCTCATACTGAGAACATATTTATCTCTAGTTTAACCATAGGATTTACTAATTCTGATTCTTTCTTTGGTAAGGAGGTTGCCAAGAGCTAGACAACCAGCAATTTGCTTCTTTGTCAAAGCACTGTGTAATGTCAATTTCAAGATGATCAAATTCAATTGCTGTGCCATAAATATGTAATTTAGCACATTCTCATTTACAAAGCTATGTTTTAATCTCAATTTGATAGAGTTATAATAAGGTCTGTTGGGGTTATAGTTTATAACACTTTATTTGAATTTTATTTGGAAAAAATTGAAAGTAAATACATACTATCTGAAGGTGTTGGTCACTTCTGACAATTATTTTAATTCGAGTGAATTATGTAGAGGAGTAACTCGAGCTATATTATATGACAGGCTAACCTAATATAATTCTAATTGAATATAGCTCCCCACTATCACTTGAAATGGTTGACTCCAAAGAGGGTAAGTGGTAATGTAATAAAAAGACAAGCCTTCTCTCTTCATTCCTACTTAACACCTTAAGTTACAGAGAAGAGAGAGCCCATGTCTGTTATAAACCATCACACTAAAAGATTTAATGATTGAATTAGCATAGATATCTGGCATCTAGTGATAGTTTATTATGTTGTTTCTACTTTTTCAATAATTTTCCTAAGAGAGACTGAGGTAATGAATGAATATCTGCTCCCTGCATTTCATTAATAAATAAAGTATTTGTCACATGTTCTAAGATATTGCATTGCCTTTAATTACTTTTTTCCTGTTTTACATTTATTTTTAATCTGCTGGATATGATTTCTTGCTTTGAGATAAAAGTTTAGTTCTTGTTTGTTTTTCAGATATTCTGGCCTTCTTTAAGGAATCTATTTGTACCAGTATTTCTAAACTGTTGGCTTGCCAAACATGCCTTGGAAAATATGATTGTAAGTACAAAGTGATGTGCAAATACAAAAATATTTTTAAACCATTTTTTACTTTCAGGGTTTAAACAGAGAGAGGTGATTTGGGGTCTAGTCTTAAACTTTCTTGCTCTATGGTGTCCCATAAAATATAAACTTATACTATTGGAATTTATTTAGCTATAATAAGCTATATAAGTTTCCAAGTGTTTCATTTTCAATCTTCTTAAAATTAATTTAATATCACAGTAAATAGTTTTATTTAAATGTTTGTAGAAATAAGTCTTCTTGGCAAAATATTGTTGAATAATTAAAGTGATACATGATACAAATAGACCTTAAGCAACCAGTGTCCTGTATCATAATCAGAATGAAAACCATAAAATGTTCATATTATCTAGTTACTGCCTTTGTAAGGTCCTGTGACTGGTAAGCAAAAATAATTCATATTTCCTCAGTGCCACTAAACAAAAACCTAACTGCTATTTGGACTAGTCCAACTAGTTAGTCTTCTGAATACCCTTCCCTTCCAAGGCAATCTGTTGATGTGTGATGGGACCCCTGGCTTTAAGAATTCAGGTAAGTGATTTTGTCAAGCTGCTCTTAATTGTAAGTAGTCACATATTCTGTGAAAACTTGTTGGGTTTTCTAAGACCCTTTCTGGGATCTGGAAGTCCCTGATTTAAAGTCATCCTTTTAGATTTGCTTTAGTTGGATTATGAGTGGGATATTAGGAGGGAGAAAGGAAAACAGGAGATAAGAGTAAGAGCTGTAGAACCCAGAGCTATGCCACAATTGCATTTTTCCGAAGGCTTACCCTGCTTAGAAGAAATGGTTTATAATTGTGATCAAAATGTGTTTATGATAGCCTTCAATATTTAAAATAAGCAAGCTGCAAGACATTTTCTGTTGAGTCATTCATTCTACAAATGTTAATACAGGTCCACTATATGCTAAACACGCCGTTCGGCAAATGATTTAACTTCTTTGCAAATATTTTATCTGCAAAAGAAATGAAAGTACCTACATTGCAAGCTTCCTGTGATAATCAAATTAAATTTTACATACATTCATATATACACATATATATGTAAAGTTTGTGTGTAGTATTAACATTTTATCTGGTGTAAGCATAGTTGGGCTCAAAATTATTATTACTGCACTGCTAATCATAGTTGTTTGGCAGCATACTTGTTTTTCATTTAAATGGGTTTTAAACAGACAGTATGACAAAAGTTTTAGCCAAAAGTAGTATTTGGATAACAGTGAGTATTCACAATAAGTTGAACATTTCTAAACATTTATATCATACGTACCACTGGAGTCTCATGAGAGTACATGGCCAAAGGGTGGGAGAACATGGTTTGCAGAAATATTGGACTATCTTAATTGCCCCAAAGAAATACTGTTTGACTAAATATAGATTGCCTAAATTGCTAATAAAAAAGACAATAGGAAAAAATAAACTTCTTTGTTAATTACCATGTTATTAGTTGTTGGAAAGAAATAACTTTGACAGGAACCATTAGTCAATCACTGTGAATAAAAGAACTGTTTTGCAATATTAATTTAGGATTCATTTTCCATTTCACTTCCATATCTCTTCTCACTGGATGCTAAATTCTTATTTGCTTTTATACTCCTTAACACCTCTCCTATAAGAAAATAAGGAATGAGAAATGAAATTCATATCATTCAACTTAGTTATTTGTTTTTATAACAGTTCTAGTTAAATGAGTCGTGAAAGAAGATAAGAAAGTGAATGGTTCATTGAGTTTTTTTTAATTGGTGACGTTTACTGATGCTATACTGATTTTTAGACTATTAAAAGTTTATTGTAAAAAATTTTAGGCCAACAGAAAACTTTAAAGTAAAAACTTATAAAAATCAGTAAATCTGTCACATATAAGATATTACTATGTAATATTTTACATTTATGTGTAATTTATATCATTCTTATATTTTCTATACAAAAACATTAACACTTTCATACATGAAATTATGTGTTCAAATTCATAGTTGGAATTTTCATCATATAATATGTAGTGAACAAGTTCCTTTGTTATTAAATATCCCTGTTCATTTCTTAATGGATGTAAGTAAATTTATAAATATATAATCAATTTATTTGACCATTTTGTATTGCAGTTATTTTAATAGTAATGAACATTATTTCATATAATAAATATTATAATTTAATAATAAAGATGAATATACATAAATATTGGTGTCCATTTCTGATGATTTTCGTGTGGTTAAGTTTTAGAAATTATATTATTGAGTAAATACTTATCGAATAGATAAATGGATGTGTGAAATAGAAAAGACATACTTCTGAGTTTTGACCTATATTACCAAAGTCCCTTCCAGAAATTTATAACAAATTACACTAACAGTATCATATCTTGAATTGACTTTTTCTTTTTTTTGAGACAGAGTCTCGCTTTGTTGCCCAGGCGAGAGTGAGTGCCGTGGCGTCAGCCTAGCTCACAGCAACCTCAAACTCCTTGGCTCAAACAATCCTATTGCCTCAGCCTCTTGAGTAGCTGGGACTACAGGCATGCGCCACCATGCCCGGCTAATTTTTTCTATATATATTAGTTGTCCAATTAAGTTCTTTCTATTTATAGTAGAGACAGGGTCTCGCTCTTGCTTAGGCTGGTCTCGAACTCCTGACCTCTAGCAATCCACCTGCCTTGGCCTCCCAGAGGCCTCTCGTGAGCCACCGCGCCCAGCCTTGAATTGACTTTTTAATGAAATTAAAAATTTGTTCATTGGCTGTTTAATTTTTTTTCTTTTTATGATGAACTACCTTATCTAATTCACGTTAGTTTTCCTCATAATAAGCTTTGGTTATAGTTTCACCCAGCTATTACTTCCCTCTTAATTGAACATATTATTTCTTGCTCTTTAGAATTCAGTATGAGAAATCTTGCTTACCATAAGGGTTTTTAGGGAGTAAGTGCAACATCCATTCAGATGTCTGTAAGACAAGTAAACTGAAATTTAGTGCTTTGGGGGTCTTCCTATGGTACTGTCTTTGTAATATGAATGCTGTAGTAAGTTATATTTAGATCTAGACAAAAATTAAAATACACTGCTATTTCTATTTAAAGTATATATATTGGATATAGTCAGGATAATTGAAATGAAATACATAGTAATAAATGTAATCAAACTCAGGCACATTTAGTGTTTATCAAAATTTATAATTTTTTTTCTGTATTATTTTAGAATGATCTACACAGAGCCATTCAGCGTACACAGTCTGCAATGTTTAATCAAGTTTTGATTTTAATATCTACATTACTATGCCTTATCTTCACCTGGTAAGATTGTACATATCAGCATTTTTATTGTGTTTTGTTTATAATTTCTAATGGAAACCATATTATAAACCATTTTTGTCAATAGCTGGCTAAAAATAAACAAATAAATATTAACCATAAAAGGTAACAGATTACCAACTGAAGTAAAAGTAAAACCCTTTCTTTGGTCTCCTGTTTTTTGCAAAATGAGAAAGCACATATATCATTTGTTATTGATAGTTACTGCAACTTTGACGTTTTCCCACATTCTGTAAGCAGCCAAATCACAAGAATTTGTACTGCATGTCATAGTTGTGAAACAAGAATTTGTCCTTCAAACCACTGACATGAGATGCCCTCATCTTTCTACATTCTTCAAAGCAGAAACACTGTTGAGAAAATTGTCATTGCCCATCACGGTCTCTGCGTTTGCCTGTCTACATGATTTTTAGTGTGCGATCAGGCAAAAAGCAGGGGCAGTTCTCCTGGCAGTGCGATGCAAGACTCGGCACTTTGCTTTATTATAAAAAGTTATTTCCCCTTTTCAGAAGGTTACATTTTTACAATTGTAGAGTAATCCAGTATGAAATAGTGCAGTACACATAGGGATTTATGAGAGAAAAATAATGTGAAAATCAAAAATGAGGTAGAATAATATGTCTTTTTTGCCAGTAGTCTTAGATATTATGTGTAATTGAGCTGTGACCTGGATTTGACCGTATTAAGAAAGAGAAAAAGCTAATAAGGAAGTACTAAAAAAAAAAGACTGCACACATACACTAATATAAGTGAGCTAGGTATAAACATAGCTATAGATATATGTATGTAAATATAGATATTACAACTCTTTGCTAGTATGTAGTTAATAATCTTATTAAATGGATTTCAAATATATTTTATTGCATACTTTTATATTTAAAAATAAACAATTTTAGGATATTTAATGCCTCTAGAAATAAAATATCCTTATAAAATTGACACAGCCATTTACCTTTCACCGACCATCTTTATGGTTCACCTAGAAAGTATCTAACTACATAAATATGAAATATTAAGGGTAATGACTTCCCTTCTAAATCACTAAAAATCCTTAATTTCAATATAATGATATTATTTGAATAATTTAGCAGTTTTGTTATCTTAAGGAAAAGTACTTAAAATTTTTATGTTTGTATGGTATGCATGTGCTAATTTTTCAATTGCTGGAAAATTACAAAAACTAAAATTAATGATTTCTAAATATAACATGGGAGTCTGTTAAACTACATTTAGTAAAGAGGTAATTGAAATATTAATGCCAAAATAAGGACAAATTATCTTTACATGATGATATTAGCAGTACTTTTGTTTTCGAGGCATTATCATGACAAAAAATCTTCATCTGTAGTGGACTCTTTTATGTGCTCCTCTTTTCTTCCTACAACTATTTTTGTGTAGTTTTATTTTCCAAGGCAGCAACTAGACAAATTTTGCCACTTTCTTATGCCAAGGAATGCAAGGGTGCTAGAGAAGTAGTTTTCATTTTCTTTGTGAAATTTCCATTATTAAAATAATTTCTATTTCATCTTTTTGTTTCATTTGGTATTATAGTTGTGTTTTTTTTATGTTGTGTGTGTTTAAATTTTAGACAGTTGAGTTGTGGTTTTGACAGATGTTATCTAACGTTACAACTGTCACTGGTATGTGGATATGTCTCTTAATGTGCATTAATTATGTAGACTTAAGTTTAGCTACAGAAAATGTTACTGTTTTAAACCGAATTTTCTTAAATTATAATATCTAGAATGAAAAAAACTGAGGTTTGATTTATTTGTGTGTTTTTCTCTACATTACAAGCAGAATATCTTCATAAATCATGACATAATGGTGTGAACACTACAAAAATTTTAGGTTTTTTCCACTTCAAATGCTGTCTTTACATAAAGTGATGAAGTTCTCATGTGAGTCCACAAAACTAATGTACTTTAAAACATCAAAGCATATTAATAATATGTCCTATTAATGATACAGCCTATTAATAATACTATGAAACTGAACCATTATGCCTAAAATATATATTTAACAGGAAATATAAGAAAACACTTTTCTTCGCTGTGGTATGTTCAGGTTTTCTCACTTCCTACATATTTCTAATACTTGTTTCCTCTAGTTATCTCCACTAAGTTAAAGTTCGTGGTAGCATATCTCTCTCTCTAGGTACATTTAATACTTTTAATTTTATAAACACAGCATCCCAACATGTCCATGGTTCCTGTCTCACTCTGTTTAGAGCACTTTTAAATTTATCTTAGAATAAGATGACAGGTAAAACCTAGGGATATGGTAAGTAGAGGAATGATTTTAGGCTTCAGACATGGGAGCCACTGTTCTGTAAAGATAAAAGTAAACTATTTTTGGACTATGTAGGAGTATTTCTCCTATGAATAAAGATACCATAATTTTTTACCTACTTTCTGAATATTGAACCGTATACCACGTCACAAATTAATATTTTTTTCCTACATGACTTAGAAGTTTATCTCCTACATATGTTTTTTTTTTCACATTATAATGTGAGTAGTTATAATTAATTGCTGTTACCTTCTGTCACACAGCAAAACTATCAAGAACTTCTAATATTTACATTGTAATTTGATCCTGAAAGATTTAGGAACTAAAATTTGAATGAATTGGCTGTGTTGTTTACAGATCTCACACTATTAAGATTACCTGTTTTAGAAAGCGGTTATACAGTTTTAAAATGTCTCTTTTCTCCATCATTATTAACATTACAATGACTATCATTAAGCATCTGTCTAAAGAGACACATGCTCAGAGCCAAATTGAAATATAAATTAAGCTGCTGACCCACTCTCTGTAGGGAATGTGCTTAGAATTGTTTTTCCTGTCATTGCAATGGAATTGGACTAATATATTCACTCATTGGCTGTGTCCCCTTCTTGATCGATAATGCACACTCCCACGACAGCTGGGAATTGTGATTCATTCTGTGTCTCTGAAACAAAGCAGAGTAAACTGGTACATCCGGGAATTAAGCTTATGACTTTAGCTTAATTATCAACATAGTCTAACCAATAATAAGTACTATAATTTATAACGCATTTGGTGTTTCTAATTTTACACTGATAGATTTATTTTGCAGCTACTGTGTTTCACACTTTAATTTTGCTTGAATTAATGTGTGTTTATATATTTTCATATTATTTCATAGAGTTATAAAGAACTATATTATGTTAATTGATATTTTCTATTTCAGTTCAATGTTAAAAATTCAATTCACCTTCTCAGTCTTATTTCAGGAGAAAATAAATATATTTAATCATTGGTTTAAAATACCTAGTTAAATATTATTAACATGTTTAAATCAAAAGTATTTGGAATTTCCTTATGCATTGATTAACACGTACTTATATGCCAGATGCTTAAGTTCTTAAACTATGTTTACTGGTTCAACTGCTAAGGCAAATAACCACTTGGAAAGCGTACAGTGAGAAGAGACAAGTACTGTGGTTTGGAAGAAGTATTACAACATGGTCTAACTGTGTTAATTATCATCACCATGATATTTGATTCCTAGTTTTGTTTTTTGCAAATTTTTTTTTGCTTATATTATAAATAATGACAGAAAGTACATTTATATGAAGATCTTGCAATTGACCAACAACCCCAGTTTGTATTACACTAGAAAAAATAGAAAATTATTTGTCCTAACTCACTTTTGCATATGGGCAGTCAGACTTTAGGCAGTTAATTAGCCAAGTAAGGTAAGTTCAAGTTTGGAAAAAGGGGAATATGGTTAATATATATAAACAATACTATAGTTATTATCAATATTAATCTCTAAGAAACATGGTTTTGAACTAAAATTCTATATCAAACAAGTCATTTCTGAATTATGATGCAATGTATTATTATTTTCAAACATGAAGATACTCAGAGTAATAATTAACATTTTAAGTTGTTATGTCAAGCACTTTTCTGAGCACTTTATATGTGTTAACTAATTTAATCTTCAGCAACCTATAAGATAAATTATATTATCTGAATTTTATAGATGAAGAAATTGAGTTACAAATTTGATATCCATTTTCCCATCTGATCTAATAGTTTCTAGAACATTGCTCACAAGTTTCCAAGAAAAATTAATTCAGAACCTAAATTTCTATCAAACCAAACCATCACTGAATTATGAGGATAATGTATAGTTCATTTCAGAGGCACAAGAACATAGAAAGTATGTACCCAAATATCATTAATGATATAATCCAGAAATAAGAAAATAAAAGATAAAAGAATAGGAATAAGTATAGGCTATGAGAAAGAGTCATATATGCAATAGCAACATATTCAATCTGTCCCTGAGAAACTCCATTTTCACACTGCATTTTATTTGGAGAAGTGCAGCTGATAGACTTACGAGATAGAGACCATTAGAAGTCATTGGTTCTCAGTTAGTATGGTATGACAATTTTGGCTTTCCCTCACTCCTTCACCCCAGCTTGTAACTGGAGACATTTCTTGGGTAGGAGTCTAAACCATAGAAAATAAAAATGGTGCCTCTGTCTCATCTTCTAGGGGAAATTTTTTTTCCTTTTATTTCATCATATTATGGAGGTACAAATATTGTTAGGGTTACAATTACTGCCGCTGCCCCCCCTCCCCCCATGTGTCTAATCCCCGGGTGGTGTGCACCACATACGTTTTGTAAGCATACACTCCTTTTCTCCTCCCCCCTCCTGGCTGCCCACCACCCTATAAAAAGTTTTTTTTTCTTTTTGTTTGTTTGTTTTTGACATTTTGGTTACATTGTATATCTTTGCCTCTCCCTGAGAAGGGTTAGAGTTATGCCCTTCCCCTCCAAAAAGCTCGCCACATCCCTAAGATTGGGTCCCCCCCCTGCCTCCGAATCCCTGGTGAGCATTGCCACCATTTGAAAACCATAGTTTTAATCAGTCAGTACCAATTTGATGGCAAGTAGATGTGGGGCCCATTTTCCATGTCTTGTGTCGCCTCACTTTGGA